ATGTTACAGATCCTGGTATGTATTTTTACAATCATTAATTTATGCTTATGTTATTAAGGATAAATGATAAGATGTAACAATTTTCATTTTGCTTTACATTATTAATGTTTGTTACTACGTAATCTTGTATGTAAGATAATATAGTGTTTTAGTTTTAATGTCTGATAAGTTTTAAGTATTATTTTATAAATTCTGTGACATTAATTTTACTAGTTTGAATATAATTAAGGGTGGGACTTTGTAATACCAGAATGCCCACAGAATTGTGTTATACAAAAATGCCTGCTTCCATGTGTTTTACTGCACTTGTGGTACACACAAAATAAATACAACCGTTACTTAGTATCTTAGTATTCTCAATGTTATATCTAACCTTCTGATTCCATCTTTCCTCTATATTCAGTTTAATAGTGTTTGCGGAGGGATCGAGATAAAAGTTTTAACAATTGAAAAAGAGAAACAAAGAAATCAAGATAAGAGTTTCCTACTACAGTATGCCATCCTTGTATTCTCCTGATAAAAGTCTAGAATGTATATCTTTCTTTTTCCTGATACAGTTGATTTTAGCTCTTTGACATAAAAGGGAAAGGGGGCTTACAGTTCTCGGACTTTTGTTTAATCAGTAATTGCTCTAGTTAATTGGCGAGATAACCGATGACATCGTTCCTCTATATTCAGTTTTCATAGTGTTAGCGGACAGACCGAGGTAAAAGTTTTAACAACTGAAAAGGGAAACAAAGAAATCGAGATAAGAGTTTCCTACTGCACTATGCCATCCTTGTTTTCCCCTGATAAAAGTCTAGAATGTATATCTTTCTTTTTCCTGATACAGTCGATTTTAGCTCTTTGACATAAAAGGGAAACGGGGTTTACAATTCTCTGCCTTTTGTTTAATCAGTTCTTGCTCTTGTTAATTTGCAAGATAACCGATGAAGAATGTATGGTGTTAATGCTATTCTCCTTTCTTTTTAGTCTTTTCTGTGGGTATCACATAAAAATTGATGGCATCCTTGCTCTAATGTATCTCACCTCTTTTCAACTTCCATTGTGAATGAGAAAGGGGTTAAACGCTAGAAAATGATCCTTGAGGTGCAACTCTTCCTTGGGTAAAGAGAAGGTCAGTTGGCCCTTAAGTTGGGTGGTGGGGGCAAGGGAGTTGAGGGTCTATCAAACACAGTCTGCCCTTTGCTTGTTACAGCATTTTAGAATTTCATTTGAACAATTTATTTTATATCTTGATATTGCAAAGATCTATTGTTTAAATGTGCAGTATGCAGTTTGGATCTTCCTCTTATCTTTTTCATTTTCCCCTTATGCGTCTATATGTGATCCTTAATATCATGCATGTTTGGTAATCCTATTAATGTTGATGCATTTTTCGACTTCCTCTGTGTGCTTTGCTTTTAATTGACATTGGTGTATGTGTTTTGTGTTGTGCTTTGATGTTCATGTAGATCCCAATTAATTACTAGCCAGTTTTAGAGTAGATTTTCTTTAAAGAACTGTAGGCCAGGTGGCTGAAATTTTTTGAATTAAATCCTCCAATTATAGCTCGGGATCATTTATACTAGCCTTTGGTTTGATGTACTTGGTAAATGTTGTCATTATATTGTTGCCATGTTTCAGCAATGAATTATTTGTTCTTCTTGATGGTTATATGCACATGAAGAATTTAAAGCTTATGTGCTCATAAAGATTAAGATTACACCTGATACCAACTATGAATTTCTAGGCCTTAAACGTCCTTGTTTTAAGCTGAATACTCAGAAAATTGCTGTATATGCTGCAAAGTTGCTTATGATTTTTGAGTTGTTGATGCTCTATAAAATTGGATCTCTGTAGAAAGAATACTAAGCCTAGTAGTTATAAATTATTTTTATCTTAGCTTTAATATACTTCACATTATAGTAATTAGACTTCCCTTATCTTGTAGATACCCCAAGAAGAGAAACAAGAAGAAGTGCTTTGATGGCTGGTCACATATCTGATGATGTCTCAAAAAAGATAACCCAAGAAGATCCTTCAATGCAAGGACCTAGTGGGAGTAGAAGTGTCGGTGAGAGTTGCCATTCTGGTATCAGAAAGTCAATTCCAGGTAACCAGATAGCACAAGCCAAACCACCAACTTACCCAAAGTTAAAAATAAAATATCCAAACATAGAACCAGTAGGAATTCAGCTTGTGGAGCCTCAATATAAGCGGTCTTTTGATGTTGGTGACAGCATAGAGGTTCTTTGCAACGATAGTGGCATGAAAGGTTGCTGGTTCAGGTGTAAAGTATTACAGGTATCACAAAAACGTATGGAAGTTCAATATATTGACATTCAGGATTGTGAAAGTCTTGAAAAGCTCGAGGTACCTTAACCACTTCGACTATAACTTATGATCTACTTACGTATTTTGACTGGTCAGTTCTCCCTTCACCCTGTCTTCTCATCACCTTTGCTTGATTTATAGGAATGGATTCCTTCCTACAAAGTTGCAGTCTCTGATAAATTGGGCATGAGATGCACAGGACGCCTCACAGTTCGGCCCCAGCCTCTGGAGGATTCTTCTGACTGTTCTTTTGAACTAGGGGCTGCAGTTGATGCTTGGTGGTCTGACGGGTGGTGGGAAGGTGTTGTAACTGGATTTGATGTCTCTGGAAGCGATCATCTTCAGGTTTACTTCCCTGGTAAGAACTAACAGTCCCCAAAAACTAAAAAGTTACAATAGAAACAGAAAACAAGAAATAAAAGGAGAATTCTTGCTTATTGGTTGATGCATAGCAACTTCGCATAAGGATAACTCAACTGCCAATGGATGTAAAATTGGAGTCTCTTATTATTTTCATTTCTTACTTGAATTCATATGTCTAAGCTCAGCATTGTCATAAATTGGCTTTATAACTCATCAGTTGAAAGAGTTCTAAATAGTAGGCCTAGCTTCCGGCTAATTTGTTGTCCGTAAGTTTAAATGATCGATATTGGTCATGGACTGATGCGCCAATGTGTTTTTTCTTATCTCAATAATAGGTGAGAACATATTATTGGAGATCCAAAGGAAGAATGTGCGGACTTCAAGAGACTGGGTTGATGACAAATGGATTGAAGTTGAGCAAAAGAAAGACATGAAGTCGTTCATAGGCTCAAGTTTAACTTATGCATCCAGGGGCAGTATCAATGAGCCGGAGAACTGCGAAAATCAGATGGCTCCCAGGCTTATGGCACCTGAAGACAACAAAATGGCTTCAACTTCCAAACACTCAGCGGAGAAGCAAGACACTGATGTGCTTAAACTGAAAAAACGATGGTATATTGATTTTCTTGCAGATAACAAGAACTGATTTCAGACAATTCTACAAGTGATAATGCTATCATCTAGCGCCCGTCAGTTCTTCTCGATAATGATGAAATACTTTTGGTACTGTGGGTATAGTTTGACTTGTAAGTAGCTCTCAACGGTGCTCAATTTGCCTTTGCAAATCTATAGGTCTTTGACAACAATATATGGAATAGGCATCTTATAGAACTATAGGCAAGCACTCTTTGCCAAGAAGTTGGCATGTTCTTGTATTGTACACTCTCTTATCGGTTATGCATAAAAGTTGTAACTTTATGAAGTTTCCTCTGAGTATGACCTGTTTTTCAGAATCCTTTTTCTTGAAAGTCTAATACCATTTTTTTAATTTTAGAAGATGAGCAAAAAGTTCTAACAGTTTATCAACAGCAGAAACACACTAGTATGATCAAATAGTTGTTTGCTTACATAATTTGGCTTTTATCATACTGATTGAGCTGCACAATTTCCTCTTTGCTTAATAAGGAAATGGGTGCGGATAGATCTTGTCCCTGTTTTCTTACTTCAGCACAGTTATTGTTACCTTGTTACTGAAAGGTGGTGCATACATACGGCGATGTAGCCCGCTTTCATTTCAAGCAAGTCCTCAGGCAGAGAAAGCGCAATCTGCTTCCATTCGATCTGGAAGAGATTCACATAGCTATTATTAGTCCAAATGAAATATTATATTCTTCGTTAGCAAAGAAAATATGATTAATTTTGTGAACAAATAGAAGTTTTCTATTACGGATAGTGGATTTTTTTTTGTATATATAGTGTTTGCGAAGCTTAGGACATAAGGAGCAACTTTCGTGAAGGAACTACAATCTTTCGAGCGTTCATTGGAAAGGTATGTTAAGGTTATTCCGCCCTTGACCTACACACATCAGTCAGCCGACGTCGGGCTTGGCCAGGCCGCATCTTCCTTGACCTGCACACAACGGTCAGCCGACGTCGAACGTGGCCTGCCCGCATTGCTTTTGTCCTGCACACAACGGTCGGCCGACGTTTGTGGGCACGGGATCCCAGTCCCAAACCCGTCGACTGTCGGTGGACTGCTCGAGCTGCTCCCGCGGCAAGAGCGGGTCGCCGCGTGCCGGCCGGGGGACGGACTGGGAACGGTTCCCCGGCAAAATGGGGGTTTTACCTGCTCTGGGGGTCGTTTGACCTTGAAAATGGGACGTTTTGGCGGTGAGGGCCAACTGGCTCTATATATAAGGTCTTAATGGACGTCCACGAAAAATTTTGGGGTTTTGTAGGTGTTTTAAATGGTTTTTAGGGTTTATTTAAGGATTTATAGGATTTAGGGTTTGTCTTTTGTTGAATGTTTTTCACGGCTATATATGATTAAGCCAATGATATTTTCCATGTTTCCTAATATAGTTAACCAACATGTTAACTAATCGATTATAATAAATTGGACGTAATTTTGCAGGGTTTTTTTTCTCTGTACATTGACCTGACATGAGCATGAAATGGATTCAAGATCCGATTTTTCTGTTTAATTTTGGAATAAAGTATCTGTGACTAATATTGTTGCAACACTAATTTTGTTAGTTTAAGGCCATACGGATTCACTGCTTCTAAATATAAAAACTCAGCATTCTCTGGCTTTTTTGTCAAGCTCAGTTTCTCAATAAAGCAACAAGCTTTTGCTGTTTTTGAAGTCAGTCAGTACTAGTTACCTGCTTACCTTTTTTTCCTTCAATTCCAGGTTCTTTTTTGCTGCTTGTTTTTTTTCCAACCCTAAGCTATTTGATGTAAGTGTGATTACTTGGTGTCAGCTCAAGGCTGGTTCAATGTTCTGGTTAATCTTTGGAAATCAGCAAACCCCTTTCGTTTTTCACGGGGTTTGGGCTTCATTGTTGTTTTTCATTGTGAATTTGGTTCTTTGTATGTAATTCTTGAAAATAAAATATTTGCTCTTTTAGCTGAATTGTATTGAGAGTTTTCTGGAATTATATTTGGATTATGTGAAATTCTGTCTGTGTTTCATTTGGAGTTGTGGTTTGATGCTGTTTTTTCATTGTTTATATGGTCATCAGGAGCTAAAATCTCTTCTTTGTATCTGATGTTCTTAATTACAATCATTTCTGTTTGTTCGACCAGGTCCTAAGTTGTAGCAGAACTTAGGAGGATTATGTATGCTCATGACTCTTCATGTCCGTTCAAATTAGTAGTCATACTATTGCCCCTGATGTTTTTTGTCCTTCGATTTTTGTTACTATCTGTTATTTCTTGTCCTTTTGTTACTTGTTATTTTTCAAAAAATGATTGTTACCTAAAATGTTTGTTTATGTTTCTGGATGAGGTGTTTAAGAACTGGGCTGTTTTTGATTAATCCAAACTGTTTTCTCTGTGGATACAGATAATCATGTATTTATATCGTGGGAAGAGCACGTTGTTTCTCAAGGGAAGGGCCGTCGTGTTGTGCAGTACTACTTGAAGGATACCTCAGGGGAGTTAATCCTTGCTGTGGTGGGTACTGAAAGAAGTACAAGGCACATACTACATGTTGTCTCTGAGGATTATTTGGATGCTTTTGGGCATACAAATACCGTAAATGCTGACACAATGTTGCGTACAAGAAAAGAGGTAGTGGAATGATTGATGTTTTTTATTTCAAAGCATCACCAACACCACCTATTTCAGGTATGTATAAACATGTAGCAGTCTTAAGATTTCAGTTACATGAGATTTATTGGCGTACATGTACATCAAATGCTCTCATTTCTAGTATTTAGCATTTACCGAAGAAGTTGATCATAGATTATTGGCTGCTTGTTACACACCCGATCAATGTAGAGACATGAGCAAATGTCTTATGATCATGTCTACAAGCAACAATGCTCCAAGTTCTGCAAATGTCCTAACTTTATCAATTTGATGGTATAATATCAATCTCACATTTTGTGAACTATTCATAGGCTACAGATCATGTCTTATGCTTTGACATTTTGTGGGTTTTTTTGGGAGAAGGTGAAAAGGTATTCCAGTTCCATTTTTATTTTGGGATTTATGGAGAACATATTATTGGAGATTCAAAGGAAGAACGTGAGGACTTCAAGAGATTGGGTTGATGACAAATGGGTTGAAGTTGAGGGAAAGAAAGACATAAAGTCGTTCATAAGTTCGAGTTTAACCTATGTATCCAGGTGTACTATCAAAGAACCAGGGAACTGTGAAAAATCAGATGACTCCCAAGCTTGTGGTACCTGAAGACAACAAAATGGTGTCAACTTCTAAACACTCAGCGGAGAAATGCTTTTGGCACTTGGGGTAAATTTTGACTTTTATGTAATTCTCAACGATGCTCGATTCGCCTTTGTAAATGTATAGGCCTTTGACAACAAAACATGGAAAATGCATCTCATAGAACTATATACAAGCGGTCTTTTTTCTTACCCCTCACTACGAGCTCCCACATTTTCACTCTCATGGTGATTCGAACTCACAATTTCAGGATTGGAAATGGCCTGTGGAGTGTGCTTACCATCTTAGCGCACTCTTCTAGTTTGCACATGTATGTGTGTTACAAATCGGCCAAGAAGGTGACATGCCCTTGTATTGTACACTTTCTCTTATCGGTTATATATATCGACTAGTGAACTTATCCGCGCTTTGCGCGGTTAAAAAAGATGATAAGATGTCGATAATTTTATTAAAATATAATATAAATAGAAGAGATATTTATAATATGTACATGTATACTATATATATATATATATATATATATATATGCATCCAGACGTATAATTGATTTCATAAAGATAAACGTTTGATTAGTAGTCCCATGACTCCAAACAATGTCATAGTTGTTTATTTGAACCAAATTTTTTTTTTTTATAAACTTACAACAGTAAAACGAATCGTATAAAATATAAAACAAAGAAAATTATGGATAGAACATAAGATAAATAATAAAAAATGTACATCATTATTATGATCTTGATTATTTAAAAAATTGAAGAAAAAAAAAAATGAAATCAATGTACAATTTTCCTAACTCTTGTCAACATTCATTCCCACAAGCCGATCATCATTCAATAGCCTTCATTTTACTATTCAAGTCAAACTAAAACATGAATATAAGAATTACGTATCAAAAATATAATAACTTGAGAGACTTATAATGTAATCATTTCTACAATGTTTTACCATGTCTTTATTTATAGAACTACAATATGTATACCGAAATAATATAATGACTATTAATTATTTTAGGAGTTATGATAATAAAAAAATATTGGAGTAATGTAAACAAAGATCATCAAGTTTTAAATTATTAAAGTATTAATGAATGGTTAATTGACATATTTATTATTTTACAATAATAATAGAGAAATAAGAAAAATTGTAAAATAAAATAAAATATTAATAAGTAAATAAAATTCTAGAGCAAATCCTCAATATTTAGAATGTTTGACAAAAATAATAGAAAGAAAGGCTAATGAAGTATTTTAATTAATTAACATTTAGCTTTTACAAAAATTGAAAAAATTACTATGAAGTATCATACCTTTTGAAGTATGACAGGTCAAGTATAAATAAGGTACTCACCCCTACAATTTAGTTGTTCATAAATAATGATCCCCTAAACATGTTGATCATTATTAAAAATAAATAAAAAACTCATCAAATCAATAGCGAAATAATTGTTATATAACTTGCCACAAAATCTCATATAGTTAAATTTAATATTCTATAAAGGGCAGTGGCGGCTCAATACTTATAAAAATTAGGCATATGCCTTAGCCCCCAATTTTAGGGGCCTCTAATTTTACCACAATAAATTATGTGTTAATTTTTTTTATAGAAAAAATTAATTATCTAAGAAAGTATTTTTCTTAAAAATATATATATTATTTTATTCTCCTTAATCTCAATCGAATAGAAGAAATCAAGAAAAATGTTGTTTTGTCTTTTTACATTCTCTTCACTAACTCTCGCATTGTAATTTTCTAGACCCCTTTTATGCTATATGTAAGTTAGAGCTCTATCAAAAATATGAATCAATAGTAAAAATCATGTTTTGGATAAAGTGAATTACAAGCCTGTTTAGATTGACTTATTTTATGTATTTTTAAACCAAAAAAGAAGAAGCTTATAAGCAGTTTTGTCAACTTATTACTTATAGAATAATGTTAACAATTTATATAATAATTGCTAACTAAAAGATTTTAGGCCTTTAATTGAAATTTCGCTTTAGACCTCCAAGTACGTTGAACCGCCGCTGATAAAGGATAGATATAAGAGAATCGTTAAGAAATTATAACACTATTC